GCCCTCTCGCTCAGCCCTCTCGCTCAGCCCTCTCGCTCAGCCCTCTCGCTAAGCCCCGTCGCTCAACCCGATAAGATTAAGGGGTAATGAAGTTGATAGCTGTGTAATGGATGGAAAGAAGGACGATTGTTTGTTTTTGATTGCATGTCGCGATTGTCGTGCTTGTAATGAGGTTATGTCCGGATGGTGGTGATGGGGAGGTTTTTTTCTCATCTTTTCTGCTCTTTGTTTTATTTATTTATTTGCTTATTCGTTTAATTTATTTCATTTTTGTTTTATTCGGTCGGTGGGATAGGTTGATACGTTGGTGGTTGTTGACAAATTTGACAGGTTGGTGATTGATGGTAAAATGACAGGTTGACACGGGGTGGAGATTGATGCCAAATGTAAAAGGTGGTGATGATGGATGACGGGTTGACAGGTTGGTGTTGATTATCCTTAAGTTGATTGGTGACAAAATGACAGGTTGACAGGTGGTGATGATGGGTGATGCCAAGTTGACAGATGGTGATTGATGTCAAATTGATAGGTTGTTGACAGTTGATCTCAGGTTGACAGGTTGGTGATGATGACACGTTAGGTTAGTGTCGATAATTATTCTATAATTGACAGGTAGGTTATAAATAATTGATAGTTGCCGATGATGATTATGCACTTATCGACTGGTTGGTGATTGGTCATTGTCCGAAATGCAACGGCGGTGTTCGGTCAAGCTGCTTTCAACCAGTCACCACCAGTCCTTCAGGTGCTCCTTTATTTTCTTTAATTTATTATTTTTTATTGGTGTTTTGTTATGTTATTTCATTTTATTTAGTAGGTTTTCATCATCAACTGGGCAATGGTGGTATGGTCGTTGTTGTTAGTAGTACTAGTAGTATTGATTGCGGTAATAGCAGTATAAGTATTACAGGCGGTAATACTAGTATTGGTACTGTTGTCATTATTATTGTTGTCAACATAATGGTATAAATGGCAATACCTGTCTTTTTATTGTCATTATTAACAGTAGGAATAGTATCATTATTATAGTATAGTATATATTGCTGTTGGTTTTATTTGAGTGATTAGTAGATTATAATGATTTTTTCTATATAAGTGTTATATGATATTTTATGGCGGCAGACAAGACCATCTATTTATTCAAAACAAAATACGAAAGGCCATTCTTCTATATATTTTTTATAAGCATTAAGCAGCGTAACAAGTAATGTTTCATAATAGCTTTGCGAAATGCAATTACAGCGCTGTGGCTAACAATAGTCTGGCACGCTGACCATCATAAGATTATGCATTTATCCCTCTTTTTTTATTCGTTATTTTTGTTAACGTTAGTTCATTTATTCACGTTCCTGGTGCATTTGCGGTGGTTATCGCGGGCTCGTCGTTGGCGGGGAACCAAGCGGCGGATGAGCAGCCTCCATTATGCATTATTACGGCCGTGTGTTAAGTAATGTCGCGTTTATTTCTTTCATTTGGTTTCGCTTGCACAAAGGGCGGGCGCAAAGGTCGCTCTTCGGGACGCCCTCGCTGTTTCTGGGCGGGATTTTTACTTCGGAAGGATGAGGCGTCTCTGGAAGTTCGGTTTTGCGTGGTTTGAATTTTGTTTTGCGCTATTTTCTCGTTTTTTTGCTTGTTTGTTTGTTGATTTTGTCCGTTCCGTTCTTTCTGGTTTGTTTTTATTGTTTTTTATTTGATGTTTTATATTCTTTTTGTTTGTTAGTTTCTTTTCTCTCTTTTCTCTTTCTTTTCTCTCTGTTTTCTTTTCTGGGGCGTTTTTTGTGTTTTTTCCATTTTATTTACTTTTGAAATTTGGAAATACCCGCTTTATATATATATATTTTTTTCCGGTTTTGCCCATTAAGTTTTTCTTTCATTTTTTCTTTTAATACCTTTCATTCGGGGAGTTTATTTTACTTCTTTTTTGTTTAGAGTAATTAATGGTTTTCCATATTTTTCTGTTGATTTCTTTATCTTGAGGGGTCTGTGTTTCTTTCTTTTCTGTCTTTCCTTCTCCTTTCCTTCCTTTCTCTCTCTCTCTCTCTCTCTCTCTCTCTCTCTCTCTCTCTCTCTCTCTCTCTCTCTCTCTCTCTCTCTCTCTCTCTCTCTCTCTCTCTCTCTCATTCTCTCTCTCACTCTCTCTCTCACTCTCAGGAAGGCACCTTACGACGAGTGAACATATGCCTATTACCGACAGAACCATTATGCGTGGAACCGAACCACCGAATGAATCCATTAATACGCTGTCTTCCCCCTTATTGTTCCTCAATCCCCCTTCCCCCCCCCCCCCCCCCCCCCCCCCATCCACCCCCCCCCCCCCCCTTATGTGGCAGAGGAGCGCCCGCAGCAGAGGAAGTAGTATAGCCTTTAATTTCGGTCGGCGTGTGAGAAAGTTAAGTGCAATTAGAATGAGTTACCCCTCTTTCCGAGATAAGTTTTCTTTGTCGCTAATGAAAATCAGGAGGTGCGGAGTTGGTCGCTGCTGCAGCCTCCGTGGGGGATCAGGTATGGGGTTTTGAGGGGCGTCGTGTGGAGTGTGGGTGGAGGGGGGTGTTTAGGGAGGGGGAGAGGGAGTGTGTAAAAGGGAGTTGGGGGTTGAAGGTTGATGGGTAGGGGGGAGGGGAAGGGGAAGTAAAGAGGGAGTGGGGGTTAGAGGGCGAGGGAGTGGGGGAGATGAGGTGGGAGGGGGAGTGCGAGGGGAGGGGGAGGGGGATGAGGAGGAGTGGGAAATGGGAGGAGGGAGGGCAAGGTTGAGTGGGAGTAAGAGTGGGAAAGGGAGTAGAGGTGGGAGTGCGAGGGTGAGTAGGAGTAGGATGAGGATGAGGATGAAAGTGTGGATGTGGATATGAGAGAGAGAGAGACAGACACAGACGCAGACACAGACACGGCAGACAGACAGAGAAGAAAAAAAAGAGAAAAGAAAGGAAAAGAAAAAGAAGAAGAAGAAGACGAACAAGACTAGAATAAGAAAGAACCAACAAGAGAGAGAGAGAGAGAGAGAGAGAGAGAGAGAGAGAGAGAGAGAGAGAGAGAGAGAGAGAGAGAAAAAAAAAAGCAGGCCAGAGAAGTCGAAAGCAGCCCTCTTCCCACGCCCTGTCCTCCCAGCCCTCCCGCCCTGCACCTCCAGCGCCGCCGCCCCTCCTCTTCGTCCTCCTCGAGATGGGACGTGAGTGACGGCAAACAAAATTTTTACTCACGAGAGATTAACATCCGAGGAGGGAAGTGGGAGGAGGAGGGTTGTGTGAGTGAGGGATCTGAGTGTCGCAGGGCCGGAGGTGAAGAGGCCGAGGGGGGAGGGGGAGGGGGAGAAGGGGGAGGGAGAGGGAGGGGGAGGGGGAATGGGAATAGGAAGGGGAAGGGGGAGGGGAGAGGGAAGATGAAGGGGAGAGGGAAGGGAAAGGAGAAAGAAGAAAGGAGAGAGAGAGAGAGAGAGAGAGAGAGAGAGAGAGAGAGAGAGAGAGAGAGAGAGAGAGAGAGAGAGAGAGAGAGAGAGAGAGAGAAGGAGAAAGAAGGAGAAAGAAGGAGAAAAAAGGAAGAGAGGCAGCAGGAGGGGAGGAGTGGGACACTCTGACACGCGCCTGTAAGCTTGTAAGCTCTGGGAATAAGTGAATAGCAGAGGAGAAAAAGGATAGCAATCTAAGCTTAGGGAGATGCTGGCGATGGGAGTTAAGAATTGGAACTGATGATGGACGTGACAGGAATAGCGTGGGGGGGGGGATCATTATTCCTATGGGGGGGTTAGTAAAGTAAGTAAACGAGTTAAAATATATGCATGCAGCTACTAGCAAAGGTAAGTAAGTAGGAGAAGGCAAATTAAAGGGAGAGAAAGGTAGATAGACATCAGGAAATAGTCAGGAACACTTTAATATAGGAACGAGTCATGGGAATCGGAGCTGAGACCCGATGCTCTCGTCGTAGATGCATGAGGTAGAGGATTGACTTGAGATGAGTGAGATGAGTTATCCAGGCTTTCTAAAAAAAAAAACATGTTTTCTATCAACACTACCGAGAACAATCGTATAAAAAGGAGTTATACGAAGACGAAAATCTTAATGCATTCGTGTTCTTGTACGTGCACTAAGACACAAGGAGATCCCAGGAGGAGTATCTCACACCCGGCAGTATAAACGGTGATAAAAAGTGCGAATGAGAAGACAACACTCGAACGCACTTAAGCATTGCATTGGGAAGGGAAAAAGGGGGAGCTTCGACGCCGAGTGTGTAAGTGTGTGTGAACGTTTCCTACGAGGGAGTGAGACATTACGGCGAAGGCGAGGGACATTATATACTGGGGTATAGTGTTATTGTCTCTTGTGAGGGGGAGGGGGGGGGAGAAAGGAGGGGGGAGTGGGAGGGGAGGAGAGGAGGAGAAAGGCGGGAGAAGGGGGAGGGGAGGAGAGGAGGAGGGAGAAAGGAAGGGGATGAGGGGAGGAGAGGAGGGAGAAAGGAGGAAGAAGGAGGAGGGGATGAGGGGAGGAGAGGAGGGAGAAAGGAGGAAGAAGGGGGAGGGGTGTGAGGGGAGCGGAAAGGGAAGGCATTGATGTAAGCTCGGAAGAAGGGGGGGGGGCGGAGGCGGTGGGAGAGCGAAGGAGAGAGAAAAGAGAGGAGGAAAAGAAGGTTGAGGAAACGGGCCTCGCACAACCACACTGGCGGGAGACAACAGCCCCACTGATGTAGCATCCTGGTAACTTTGGGATGGATTATTGAAAATCTATGAAGTGTGTTAATTACAATGCGCGTATGTGTGTGTGTGTGCGTGTGTGTGTGTGTGTGTGTGTGTGTGTGCGTGTGTGTGTGTGTGTGTGTGTGTGTGTGTTTATGGTCAGTTATTTACGTGTTTTTCCTTGTACTTTTTCTGTTGAATATTATATGTAGACAAAGTTAACGATGACAATGCTTTGATTTAGATTTTCAGCCCGTACGTTCTTATATCAATGAAATATTGAGATAATGTTGATATTATCTTTTTGCAAGTTCTTATACCTGATACCTTGAAACTTTTG